CACACACACACACACACACACACACACACAAAACACAATATAAAATGTATAAATAAGTTTGAATGGCTATAACCCAAATCTATATAATTATTTTACTACAAAAATATTATCTGAAGTCAGGGCTAATTTAGCAAGTGTACTGCTAAATGTATTTCCATTACTTTATACTTACCTGTCTCTGCTGGACTAATGAAGCAGCCTTTTGTCGCAAGGCCTCATCCAATAACTCCTTGTCTCTCTGTAGTTTAGTAAGCATCTCAACATTATTCTGGGTATTGGTCTGATTTGTCAATTGCTGAATTTGTGCTGTTTATGTACAAAAAATAAATTTAGGCTTCAGACTAACAGAGACTTCTTTACACCTATCAAAATAAAAATCAAGCATGTGTGGATTACAGAAACATCTTCATTATAAAGAAACAGAATGACACTGCTAACCAATTTCAACAATTTAATCTTAACTAATTCCACATGGGTTTCTAAGTGTAGAGTTAGTATACCAATCACAGTCTTTGTCACTGTTAGTTTTTATTCTATATCAAAATTCATTAAAGTCTCATTTCAAATAAAAATATAATGGTGTGCAAATTATTGCGAGGAATTTTTTAGCTCTAATAATAAGTACCAATTTACCACATGATTAGATATAGGTTTAATTACACACTTACCAATTGTTTAATTGAAAGTACATAATGTTCCATGTGTTTAGTTTATATATACTGAAGAGTGATCAACTAGGGTAGTTTTGGTACAGCTTAATGATTTAGTTTCAAGTACAAAGTTAGTTTCTTTTTGCTAGATACAACATTACGACACATATAGGCACAAGTACAGTGTTATTATGTGTTAGTTACAGATCTAGTATCTAGCTTTCATTACAATTAGGGTTACTCTGACTTGAACTGTAAGTACAGTTAAAGAACTACCACTTGATTAATTTATAAATTTAAATGTTAAAGTTAGTTTAAGTACATGTACAAGGTATCAAGACTAAAACAGGGACTTGGCCAACACAACTTTTCATCTGCAAGCTCAACCAGACAGTGCCACACAAGCTCCAAAGATTAACAGATCATCATGCAGAAAGGACACTTCACCAAACTGTAAATACTAGAGGGTAGAAACAACAAGATGTCTTAGTTACCAGTTATAAGAAGGGCTGGATCACAGTAAATTCCTGACCCAGCAAAGCTTTTTGATGGTGGAAAGGTTTCTTTCTTCTAAAAACAATAATACATTAAAAGTGGTACCAATACAGGTGACCACAAGAGCAATAGAGCTTACACACTCAGTGGAGGACCTTGACTGACCAGCAACAGGAGGAAAAGAAACTGAGCCCTAAGCCTGAAAATGGTAAAAAATAAATGGGTAGAAAGTGGGCCAGATTCAGGCAGTATCACATTATGATAGGTTATTGCAATGTTCAGGAGATCAGGGGAAGCAAATACTGCCACAAGAAGATCCCTTAATTTTATGACATCATACTCTTTCAAGAGACTAATGTCTCGGACCCTAAGTTCGCTCTCATTAACTTCATACCACACACTGACCCAGAGACTAGGATGGCCATTGCAGCTTCACACAACAGTAATATCCATTACGAACATTGTCACAGCTCTCAGTGGAACAATTATCACTGCAAGCTAGCTACAAACCATTCAGATAGCTCACTTGAAGTTACTTACACATATTAAAATCACCAATGTGTGCATGAAAAGTGACATACCACATTATCCTCAAAACTGAAGCTTTCTTCTTGACTTTTCTGACAACACTCCTATATATCTAGCAGTAGAATACTTCAACTATACTGGTACACAATCAAATACATTTAAAAAAATGTAAAGAATTACTACCGTAAAATCCTTTGAGCTGCTTATAAAACAGTCCAATGACTACTGATATATTATAAACATGACTTAGGTAAACCTTACTAGCACAAATAAAGAAACAAAAATCACTGACATATATTATGGTGTTGTGATGAATCATATTGTTGAACTAGTTTTTTGGATTATTGGGTAAAAAAAAAGAATACAAAGCCCACTCCACTTATTGCTAATGAAAGTGTTTTATCTCTTTGACTACAAGTTCTACAAATTTCTCATACTGACCTATAATGTTCACCAAGTGATAGGCCTAACATTACAGTACCACTAAACAGTCACATATGTTAATTTTCTCTTGTACCTATGGCACATTCTCATATTTCTAATACTTCATTGAAACATAAACTTTATATTCAGAAAACTTTACTGAATAACTGGCTGACAACAGACAGACTGAGTAACAAACTCACTAATCAAACATCTATTCTAGCCTCACTCACACTTTATATTGCTCGAATGTTCTAAACTTTCAAGTAGGTTCTAGTCATTAATCCAAATTAAAAAAAAAAGCCTTCAACAATGACACCAACATAAAACATTAAAAAAAAGTGAGGTGGACCTGTTTTTGCTCAGGAATTTCATCTTCAACATATAATAATCAGTTAAAATTATGCAGAATTAATATAAACAAGTATATTCTAAACAGAATTCCACAGTAGAAGAATCATGAAAAATTAAATTTTTAATGCTTTTGCAGCATGCGAGATATTCTTTCTGTCGCAGTATTTTTAGTATCACATATATACCAAAACACAAACAAAAAGAGCATACAAAACAAATGAAATGCGTCTAATATAGCAAAATCCATTAAAAAAAACAAAAATTTTTAATTTTAGATTTAAGAAATTACTTTACGAGTTTCTTGACCACAAATAAAGTTTTATTTTAAATTCCACAACATTATTTTCAATCCTATTTGATATAAATACAGCACTTAAGCTGTTCTTTATAACATGTTTATGGCTTTACCATAACAGGATGTCAATTATACAAATGCAATTTCCACAAAGTAGGACTTACCTTGACGCTTAGAACTCTCCTGGTATTGTATTACAAAGGATTCTTGTTCTTGCTGCATACGTCGTAGCTCTTCTTCAGTTTCCTAAACAGAAACAAAGATTCCATGTAGTTAATATAAAACATTACATGTCAGATTTAGGCTAGGTCATGACTGAAATACTTCGTCAAATTTTCCTGAAACTAGTACACGTACATTTAGTCAGAGCAAAGAATCTTGGTAAAATGAGCCTTGAGAAGACAATCATCCTCTAACAATTCTTTAATTTTGTTTTCATAAACCCTTTTATCCAATATTATGACTTGACCACCTTTATCTGATTTAGTAATTACAATTTTATCATTATTCTTCAATGCTTGAAACTGTTCTACCTCATCCTTACTTAAGTTTAGGTTTACCCTTCTCATTCAATAATTCATTGGCTACTTCTGCTCTAACTGCAAGCTTCATCCTATCATTCACTTTTAGTCTTTTAAAAGATGCTTCTGTTGATTCAATAGTCATTTTTCACTGAACAATTGTTGTTGAATGAAAAATTTAAGCCTAAACTAAAATTTCCATTTGACAAGTTAACAACTTCAGGGTTTTATTGAACTTGTCTTCTATGACAGGAATCTTATTATTCAGTTTATTTTTTAAACCTTCCTCTTTTTTTTCCTATTCAGATTATTAAATTTTTTACTCAATTTCACCTTATTATTAGTTTTTAATTCTTCCCACTTCAATCAACTATGGGAATCTAACCTGTCCCACATTACTTTACGAGTGTTCATGGTTAATTTTAAATGCAACTTGTAAAGTGTAGCTTCTATTAATGCTATCTCTCTTCTTTTTTCTTTAATCATAGCTCTCAGGATTTTGCCCTGGGTTTGTTGTATAATGAACTTAACCTTCTTGCTTTGTAGATTGTACTTCACTTTAATACTATTCGGAGCTACCCGATATTTTTTTTACATTCAACTAAAAAGTTCAACTGGGTAAATTTTCTTCTGTGTCGACTTCTGAGCTTGTTAAATTGTGTGTTCAAGTCTTGAGTAGCTTCAGGCATTATGGATATAAGTTGTAGATTATCTCAAAGTCCCAGTTGTTGTACCATATCCAACTGATAACTTCTCTACAGTTTCTCAGGCCACAACAACTCAAATATACCTATTTTCACGAAACTGTAAGGTAATAGTTCACAACCAGCTTTGAGATCAACAACTTATAGCCAGAAGTCGATACAGAAGAAACTTACCCAAACGAACTTTTTTTTTTTAATATAATTATGTAAACCTCTGTATATGCATAGCAACACTGAACCTATTGGTGCATGTTTATCTCAAGTGAAAAATACCTAAACAACAAAAATTATAACCTTTTTCTTACTTAGTTCAGTCTTTAGTAAAAATTGTAACACTATAGTTAAGGCTGCAACTCTCACTTTTTTGGTAGGTTTATTTTTGGATGTAATTTAGATCCTTTCCAAGGCTACAGTGAGTGTGCAGTTTTGAACAAAATATGTCTTGTGGTTACAGACCTTTAAAAAAGATACATTTTTAAATTCATGTAATTTCATATTTTAAGCTTTACTTATTCATTTAATTTCTCAAGCATTTTTCTTTCAATTTGTATGTTATTGTACCATTTTCTTTTGCATTCAAACATGAATATGAGATGGCTAACTTCAAACAAGTTTGAACTCTTGTGAATATTTACAACAAGTTATGAAATTTCCTACCTGTAATTTTTGTATGCTTATAATAGGTTTAATCCTTGTATTGTTTTTAAAACTATTTATTGAAGTTTGGATGGTTTTGTCACTACCACTGTATATTCTAGTCTAATTGTAAAAGTTTGTGATGTAACATAAAGTATTTCTTTAAAGAACAATATTTTCAATTTACTGAAGTCTCCATCAAAGTCTAGCTTCTCACTATACCATGCAAGATACTTGCATGCAAATGTTGATGCACTAATGGAAAAATTAGGTACTGAGCATCATTCTCAAGAATGGAGACTTTTTCTTATAGACTCATCTAAACTTAGTCTGAAAGATGTACTTTTGCAAAATGGGAACACTAAGCCATCGATTCCTGTTGTTCATACTGTTAACATGAAATAAACTTATCAAATCATGCAGATTATACATTTTTAAATACAATATTCAATTAATAAATAAAGCTATTAACAAAAAGTTGTTATTTTCATGATATATAAGAATATTTTGATTAAATCTATCATAACTCAAAAACTAGAGGTGACCAGTAATTTTCAACATGATTTTTAGAATCAGCATCATGTTTTCTGTTAGCAGAGAAAATTTTTTTTGTTGCCCAGTGTAATTTTCATATTAATCATGTCACTGTTGAATATGTGTTAAGACCTCACTTTCATGATGAAAAAGTCAAAAGCTTTTCTACAGCAACTGAAATGTAATATAGCATTTTGGAGAGAATAAAATATTTTAAATATATATATAAAAAACACAGTAATACAAAACCAAGTATTTTACCCATAATATTCAGAAAAAGTCTTACCCAATTTTTTTTAAATTCTCAGTCTCCCAACCCACTGTTATTAAATAAATTAGTTAAGACTTCTCAAATAACAAATTGTTTTGTAACCAAGCTTAAAGAAGTAAAGAAATTTAATGCAACACAAATATCTACCAATGAATAATTAGCTGGGAAGAGTTTGAAGCATCTAATTAACAGGAAGAAGATTATTTTCTCAAGACCTATCCTTAGCAGATTTTGTCTGTAAAATCAATATGGAAACTCATATGTAAACTTCTGTCTTTTTTTTTTAATTATGAGAAAAGCTAAAATATCATAATGCTGAATTAATTTATCAAAACAACAGAAAAAAAAATCATGTTTGTCTTTTATTTTATTAAAAACACACAAAGTTGATATAAAAGATAAATGAAGTTTGCATATCTGTGGTAAGTGTTTTGCCTTCTGGCATGTACGAGTAATGAGATTGTAAAATTAGAAATTTAAATACCTGAAAGGTATTATAAAGTATGCAAGGCATAAAGTATGTCTTGTTCATTCCAACTTTTTTAAATAAATATAAAATATGTACAGTCAAAAACATATTATAATGTACTGTATGTTACTGAATGTTTTTAGATGCATTTGATACTTTACAAAATCATTAACTCACTTTATGCAAAAAAGGGTTGTTTACTTGAAGCTCTTAACTGTGTTGATCATACAGTTCATAAATCCAAATTTACATTTTTGACCCCTAAAGCATTAATATTTTTAGTTGAGTTAAAATGATTTAAATTTTTTACATACTAAGTCTAAATATGTGAATGATTCAAGCAAAACTACCATGAGATGAGTGTATTGTCATATTACAGATAAAAAACATTATTCCACAAACATTGTATTTCAACATATACATTATTAAGCAAAATTTATTACTTCTAAATGAAAAGATGTTTACAGATCCTTTTATTGTCACTAGAGAAGGAGTAAAAGATCACACCTTATGAATTACAGTTTATCAATGTATAGCTAACTCATTAGAGAATTTAAAAGAGAAAAAGTAAGAATAATATGACACAAACAAATTCAAACCCAGTTGGAACTTACTTGTGTTTTCTTCTTGAGTTTATCCAGATGTTGGCTTATTTCTTGATGAATGGTGGATGGGCCTTGAAGTTGATTGGTCATCTGAACACAAAGCTGGGTGAAGAGAAACATATTAGTGGGCTTATATGTGAACAGATATTCTAATTAAACTAATCAAAAATATACACTGAACACTAAATAGATAGGCATTCATGATCTATGATAACAATATGACTGAGTGCCTAGGCCTTAAAGCCTCTTTATTCACCAGTAACAGGGTTCCTTGTAATGAGCTTGTGAGCTTTTGCTATGCAGTGTAATTTCCACTGCAGGAGGATTTTGCACTACTGATGTCAATGCTGTCTCAATCCTCTTTACATGATTTGCAAGATCCATCAGGGACACTGCCAGGATTTTGCTGAAGGATGGGGGAGGGGGAGGGCATTGTTGTGTAAAAATTGAGTAGGAGTTGAGTGAAAAGGAGAGTACAGTTATTTAACAAATATTATGTTTAATTAACTAACACTAAAAGATGCATCTGAACTTTTTGGTATTCCACTTCTCCAAAGCTCTGTTGAAATCATTTTCCTCCATTTCCCAGCTTTTGAATGTTCCACAGTCAGGTACTTTGAGGAACTTTGGAATGCATTTTGCCATTGTTACTGTGCACTTGAAAGGTCAATAAATACAAGCACCCCTCTACGTGACTGTTTCAGAAATTTCTGTATCAGGGGAAATGGACAAGCACATTTCCAATTGATGTTATGCAAGGGAATTCCAATTTTTGAGGGAGAATTCTTCCACAAACAGTTTTAATTGTGGGAATTAGAGCCAGAACTTGGATATACTTTTTCTGGTTCACCTACTATGCACAGAAGACAACTTTTGAGGACCCATATGAGCAACCCAAAGGCAAAGAAGTCTATGAAAGATGTCTGTAAATGGATAAGCGTGAATTCCCATCTGTAGTTGCATCTTGCAAAAGAACTAGTATGTTAACTTAGACCTGAGACTGGGTGTTTTGTTTTGATGGAGACACACCTCAGTGGAATTTCATTCATACAAAGATTACACTTCCTTGCAATATTCACCTTGGAATTTCCCTTTACTCTTCAAATGTTTAACTTACCATTATAGTTGTAACCTGCAACAACCAAAAATCCCTAGGAAAAATGTCTACATATTCTTTACCATTTTTGAAAAGTTCTATCATCAGTAAAACAATAACAAATTATGTACATTTTGGCAGACTCTTAAGTAAACATGTGCTTCACCTAATGTACTAACATATTTCCATTTGTCACATGCCAGACACTGCTCTTACAGTTTTTGACAGTTACTGTTCTGCTAAGGTACAAGTATTGAGAGAATCTTGTGAAAATCAAAATAGTTCTGGAAAGTATTCTACGTTCCTGATTAATAATCAGTATCACATTTAGCACAATTATTTCTATAAATTCAAGAAATGCTTTCTGAAGTATTATCTGTTCACCTATTCCATTGTATTTTATTTGTGTATAACAGGGATTAAAAACTTGAGAAATGCTTTTATTTTAAATATTTATTTACAATTCAAAATAAATTTTGATTTTAAGCACCTTTTACATTAAAGTTAGTTTGCTGTATTCCATGTTTAGTTTATTGTTCACAGAACAAGTACTTCCACATAATATGTAAGAATTGTAATACCATATTTTTGGAAATTGTTTAACAGTATATTCACAAGAAAAAACACCATGCTTTTCTGAATTTGAAAATTTAATTAATTGCACTATACATGTTTGTTTTCCAATTGAGAATATTATAACGCAAGCTTCTAGAGTGTACATCAACTTTCAGACTGAAAATCAGTTGCACTGTTGTCAAGTTACAGCACTTTTACATTGCATAAATATAAAGAAATATTTTGGTATCAGTCTTTTTTTTTTGTCTATATATGTGAATGTATCTTGGTTAATAGTGTATTAGTGTCTTTAAGGCATATACAAGAAAATGAGCAATATGGAAACCCCATGGCAATTAATATGCAAATGCATACTACCAGCTCCCTAAGCATTTGGTTGAAAGTACATCTATCTAACATTGATAAACAGTTTCCAACAAACCAATAAATTTGGTAAAACATTGCTTTGTAGCATAAATAAGATGACTTGTATTTAATCAACCTATCATGGAGGATGAATACGTATTTATCAGTACAGTTTCTCTCCCATTGCACCTCAGTAGTTAATATATTCCCATTGTGTATAATTATGAAAGTTTTGAGCTCAAAACAATATATAATGCCTTATTAGACTGAAATATACTCTAATCCAGATTTATTTGTTTATCTAATTATTTCTCGTCATTGATATTACTTTGAAAAAATGATAACCACCTTGGAAGAGCCCCATGTTTGAAGTGTGGTATCTCAATGATCAAAAAGGGGCATTAAAAATTTTCTTAATAGATTCTTCATATTTTATACTAATCTACAACTGACATAAATAAAATGAAAAGTTGTGCAATAAATCAGTTTTCAAAAATTGGTCAAAACATATAAAAATTATGCCTTTTCTAACAAATCAGAATAAAACCCTTGATCAGCTCTTTATGAGGGCAGGCTACAAGACTAATGCACGCTTGAAAACTTTGAAGGTAGTAACTAAAGATGCATATAGTTGTTATAGGAGAAAAATATGTGCACAAAAACAAATAAAAAAAAACTGATAAAGCCACGGATCACACACAAATAAACAATATAAAGTATGGTTTACTTACATTTTCAGCTAACTGAATGGCCTTAGATTCAGCTTGCAAACAATGTTTTACAACCCTAACAAGTTGTTGGGGATTGTTACTGTAATTATCCTAAGGAAGAAAAGGATATATAATTAAATAAAAAAAAGATACACACGTATATACTTATATATCCTTTGTCAGATGTGTTTCCTCCCATAAAAAATTGGACCAAAAATTAATAATACCAAACCTGCATTAACTTTCATTTCCAGCTATTGACCAAATGCTTTACCAAAAGTTTGACAGAAAGCTGTGTTAATACAGGAATAAAAAAATATTGGTTTGTTGTTGGCTGAGAAGCAGCTCTTAATGTTGCAAAAGCACTACCACTGTTGAAATAAAAACTTAAATATTCAGTATATATACACACACATACACACACACACACGCATGTAGAAAGCATGTTCCAGAAATTCTCATAAAATCCCTAATATTACATTAATAACAGTTTAGGCATTGTTGAAAAACTCGCACAAATCCACAATACTTTAGCACAAAATTTGAAGATTGTAAACTACATATTCTAATCATTAAATCTGCCACATTATTGGATAAATAAAAGAAAAAAAAGGCACTTATAAAAATTATAAATTATACATACACAGTAACTAAAATATATCCAATACAAGTTATTCACTTAATGATTCAAATTTTGGAAAAAGAACACGGATTAAAAAGAAAATCTTCGGGTATATTTTACACCAGAAACAAAACGTAATAATTTCCATCCTTCACAGGTTTGGATTATTTCTTTAATATGAAAGATACTGTAAAATTTATCCTGAGTTGAATAATCAACTTTAAATTCTTTAATTTCTTAACTACTTACTCTGAAGTAAATAACAGCTTCATCAAGTTTAAGTTTCATAATGAAGTTAGAATCTTCTGCACTGGCTTTCTTCTCCAACTCTTGAATAAATGAAGCACACAAGCTAGCTGCATAATTATCATGCAGATGATTATCTGGATCTATTTCACTCCTAAAAAAACAAGAAAATTTTAAATATGCCACTAAAAATTACTATTACTGATATA